TCCAACAGTTTATGTTAAGGGATTGGTTAGAGAACAGTATAATCACAAGCAAATATTAATCAATAATTCTAGAAAAGAATCTGTTTCATATCGCTTTTACTTATATTATCTAATTTAATGTGCGTGTTAAATCAGAAGATGTTTTTGATTTTTGCCATTCAGGTAAAAAAGAAAAAAAGACTCTAAATTTTTATAAGCTTTAGAGCTAGGTTTAATATAATATATTAATTCACATATGTTGTTTATTTTACTTTTGTTACATATGGGCATTCGCTCAATTTTGATTTGTATATTTCGTAATTCCAATTTCTATTTTCCTACTTTATATTCACCATAAAATTCTATATAAAAGGTATTATTAAATGCCAAGTAAAAAGCTTTAAGTTTCATAATAATTTAGTAATTTTATTTTATGAGTATTTCTGTTTTATAATGAAGCTTATTCAAGATTTTTCTAAGGTAAGATGCTTCACTTTTGCTTTTCTGAAGTGTGCTTTATTTAATGAATCTATGTTCATGTCTCTAATTTCTGTTCATTTCTGAATATAACCTGGGCTTGAATCTGATTATTAGATCTGAATCTGCTCTATTTTTATTAGCAAATGCAATAGTTAAGATTTTTATTATACATCCTAATTTGTCATTGATATTTATTAAATGTCTTAGTTTTGTTTTCAGTATAATAATTAGAAATATAAAACATAATTTAACATTTCATAATACAGTCAAAAGTCGTTAATTCGGACACCCATAATCCGGAATGATCTATAATCCGGACCTCAAAACTACAAACTTTCTGTGCATGCGTCGCGTTCACGCATGCGCACAGGCGTTTACGAGAGCGCGTAAGACCCTTACGGCTGCGAATATGTTTGTGCGCATGCGCGTTTAATGTGTAACGGAGTTATACGCTAAGCTAAAGTTATCTAATTCAGTTAATGTTGCAGATTGCGTTGTTCCTTAATCTTCGAATTGGATCCGGCTTATTATTTTTTGCAGACTGTTAGAGCAATTTTATAAAAGTAAGCTTGAACTTTCGCTTATGTCAAATAGAATTTCCGATATATATTTACTACAAAGCGAAAGTATGTTTTGAAATCCGAAATCTGTTCATCAATTTCACGCTGCTCTGCGGCAGAGGGGGGGGCAGAAATGTCATTATTAGATTATGATAGATTAGAAAGATTATGTCAAATAGAATTTCCGATATATATTTACTAATATGTAATTTGTATCTACAAAGCGAAAGTATGTTTTGAAATCCGAAATCTGTTTATCAATTTCACGCGGCGGATTAGAAGTTGATCTGTCAGCACTATCCTTATCTTCAGGGCAGATGTTTTTATTTTATATGGTTTATAATTCCGTACTAAGTGTAGTATTTAATCTCGATGTACTCCGTCTTTGATATGATTTAAATCAAGTTCCTCGTCATTATAATTCGCTTCCGATAGTGAAGAAAGTGACCCAGAGGTTATTGAAAACGAAAACATTTCGATTGACAAATTAGTCGGTATTCTCAACACAGCAATTATAGGACTTGAACAGCGGAACTTTGTAACTAAACAAGAAATTATGTCTGTTTAATAGAATTAAAGAGAAAGTATTATCACATGAAACGAAGCAACTTACATTGAGGAAATGTTTAATAAAGTAAACAAATAAATATTAAGCTTTTTCTTTTTGTAAATTTTGATACCCTTTATATCATAATTGTCCTCTTTTTCATAAATTACGGTTTCATATTTTTAATTTTGTAATTTCTGCATGCCATCCTACCAGATTTAAACTGATGATCTATAATCCGGAAAAATCGATAATCCGGAATCGCCGAAGTCCCGACGAGTCCGGATTAACGACTTTTGACTGTAATAATTATGCTTACTTTGGATTACTTAAAACTTAATCCAGTCTTAATTTATTTGGGTCTTTTTCATTATAGGACAGCTTGTATCAAAAAATTTTCTACAGAAGTACATTTTCTAATTTGCAAATGTAGCTAATTGGCTGGCATTAAATAAAACTAGTTATTCATTTCTTTGCAACAGTATTCTTATTTACAAAGTACAGTGTCTCACAAAAGTGATGGGACACTTGTGCTTTGCAAAAGGAAACTGTAATAAAATAAAAAACAACATGTAAACATTTTTTGTGGATGTATTTCATACTTAAATTTAGTAACAATTATTACATAACATACATTTTCTTAAAATATTAATTTAATAAAAATACAATTGTTTAAAACGGAGCAAAAAATGGTTCACATAAGTGATGGGACACCATTAGATACTACTACATACTACAATAAAAATATTTTTTGGGATTTCTATTTTTACTCAAAAGCAATTGGCAATAATTTATAAAATCGTCTGCAGTATTTCTCTCCAGTTTGTTTTGGAAATTTTGTGTTTTTTAGCTCTGTGCAGCCATGAATGCTAAACAAAAAGAAACTTTGCCTGAAATTCGAAAATTAGTTATTAATTTGCATATTGAACATGGAAAATTTATTAGAGAAACTCCTGAAACAGTTAACTTGAATCATTTAACAGTTTACAATATCATTAAACGATATGAAAAGAATCATATGATTCAGGATAAAAGAAGACCTGGCTGACCATCAAAGCTATCCAATGGAATAAAGCAAATTATCGTTCGAAATAGTAAAAAAAATCCAAGAATGAGTGCTCCTAAAGTTGCTGCTGATTTACAATCATTATATGGAGTAATTGTTAAACCTGAGACTATTAGAAGAGTAATTCGATCTGCTGGATATCACGGTAGAGCAGCCAGAAAAAATTCTTCGTAAGTGAAACGAATAGAAACTCAGACTGGCTTCGCAAATCCAACATAAATAAATAAGAATTCTGATTACTGAATGAAGTTATATTTGCTGATGAGAGTAAATTTAATATATTTGTTCTGACCATAGAATCTTGGTGGAGAAAACCCAGGGAAGAATTTTCGAAAACATAACTTGTGCCAACAGTATAACATGGTGGAGGAGTAGTTATTGTATGGGGGTGTATGTCGTCCGCTGGAGTTGGTACTCTTGTTTTTATTGACAGTATAATGGATCAGTGCAAGTATATTGACATTTTAAATCAAAATTTGAAATCTTCAGCGAGAAAATTGAATCCTTCATAACGATTTTGAATTCTACCAGGACAATGACCCCCCACACACTGCTTTGAACATTAGACTCTGGCTGCTGTATAACTCTCCTGAAATAATAAAAACACCACCACAATCTTCAGACTTAAATCCCATACAGAATATTTGGCAAGAATTGGAATCAAGAATTCTCAAACACGCCATTTCTTCAAAACAACAATTAAAATCGGTGCTTCAAGAAGTATGGGGTAAAATCACTCCAGGAAATCACAAAAATTAGTCGAATCATCCCAAGAAACTAAATCATGTTTTAGAAGTAAAGGAAATCCAACAAATACTAATAAATATTTGATTGAATAAAATTTTTGGATAATATTTGATGGAAAAGTAAGTGTCCCATCAGTTAGTGAGCCATTTTTTGCTCCGTTCTAAACAATTGTATTTTTTATTAAATTAAATTTTAATATTTTGAGAAAATGTATGTTATGTAATAATTGTTACTAAATTTAATATGAAACACACCCCACAAAAATTTTTACAGTTTTTTTAATTTATTTACTAGAGTTTCCTTTGTAAAGCACAAGTGTCCCATCACTTTTGTGAGACACTGTATATGTTTTCAATAAAAAGCTGTTAAAGTATGTCAGTCTGTTTTGTTCTGTGTTTATCCAGATAATTAAATGTAAGAGATATATTATGTTTAGGGGGGAAAAAATCTTAGAAGGAATGATCTGATGACAAAAGCACATTTCTCACTGGATGTATCAAGTTGGCACACATATTTTTCTACAGAAAATTGCTTTACACATGTTTTCTTATAACAGAAAGTATCCAGTAATACTTAATTGCAGTAAAGCATAAACTTTTTTATTAGTAATTAATGGTTTATGTGCATACATATATGCATAAATGCATATACATTCATACATGCATTTCTGAATCCGGTCCTGATAACAGAAAACTACCGATTTGGGTTCTACAGGGGTTTGGGATATCATCTCAACCATTGTTCTAGCATTCTTACAGCGGTTAGGCCACTTTCTAATTTTTTCTCTATTTTCTTCATGAATATTTGTCCATCCAAACAAAAATAACAAGAATCCTGATTAACATAGTGTTGTTAATAATTATCTCACCCTATGTTAGTAAACACTATATATACAAGTTTGGAGTATGAATTGTATGCAGTCCTTCTTTGGCTTCTCGCCTGTTACATTACTCTTTGTCCACTGACTTGATAAATTAAATGTGATTGATGTATGCCATGATGGCTTTGATCCAATTTAAGTAGTAAAAGCTGATAAAAAGGGGATTGAGCTGAATGCAACTCTTGACTGTTGTCCTTGAAATCATCTGCAGCTGCTTAAAATTCAATTTATCTTTTTTAAGATAATGACATTTAAATTATTAATATATTTTCAGTGCATCTTTAAGCATAAATTTTCTATCCTCTTTCCCTTGTAATTTGTCACTGCTATAAGCATAAATAACTCTTGCCTGCTTTTCCATGAGCAAATAAATACTTAAGCTACATGTGCTGTTTTTGCTTTTTCAGTAATATTACAAATAAGTTCTTAAGGAAATTTGAATTTTCTTAACTCTTTTTTTTTTTTTTTCTCCCCTCCTTCTCAAAACATAAATAAGTATACAACTTTCATTGTTTATTACGTGAATAGCTTAATATCTTTGTTTTTTTAATCTTGCTCTTGAATTAATAATTGTATGCCAGTTTCAGAAATTAATCTTTTTTATATTATTCTATAATGATTAAAACATAATTTAAAATATATAATAGTATTCCATGTGATCTAGGCATGCATTAATAATATATTGACTTTTAAGCAAAGCTTGTTAATTTAATTTTTTCTTTACTATTTTTTTTCCTTTAGGATGTTCCTGAAATCTTTATTAAGCTGAATATAAAGTACATCAGAAGTTAATATTGAATATCTTCTAATTCATTAGCAAGATTGTAAAAAAATGAAGGTAATAAAGTTGATTTAAGTTCATGCTATCCCTTTTTTTTTGTACTGTAATTTTATCCTACATTAAGAAATAAGACATCGAAACCATTTTTTATTCTTAAAAAAAAGTTATTACTACATTATGTTTCAAGTAAGAAATAAAAATTCATCTGCATAGATGTTCCTGCATGGAAATTTTCTTCAGATAAATAAAGGTGCTCAATAATTAAATTTTTTTCTCCCTGAACTGTAAATAGTTAGCAGTATTCAGTGCTTTACACACAATCAATGAAAATTTCATGTTTACACATTTCACAATATATTTTTTACAAGGAAAGTTTCAAGACACTCAGGTTTGATATCTTTTCAATTCAGACAGATTGATGCCAAGATATTTTTAGAATATGTAGAATTTTGATATATTCATTGCCACACAAATTTTCAGAGTTAACAGCCTCATATTATGTTTCTTTATGTATTTATATATGTATATCGTAGAATTCCCCATAGAATGGTTGAAGTTCCATATATTACCGCCTAAAAGAGTTATAACAACAAAGCAAAATAACATAATCATTTTAGTGAGGCAAATGATCATAAATAAATTACATAGTTGCCAGTAAACTAAATTAAATAATCATTGTACTGGTGGCATTTCATAAAATGTAACAGAATTTTATAATAAGCTCTTCGTTTAAAGAAAAAATAGTTTCATGAAGTGAGGCCAACTGGAGGCCTTGAACTGCCCATGAGGTCCTTTTCTGCAATCCACAGGAAAGTTGAGAAAAACTTGTATTATTATCATTATTGACCATGAATCTTCTGATACATGCTATTTTTGTACATTCTTCTAATAGTGTATGTTATGGTGGTAATGTATTGATAGTGTTTACATTCTGCATGCTGAAATTGTACTTCTAATAGTGTATTTATTACATATATACACAGTGCATAAATATACAGTGTGTGTATAGATTTCTGGTAATACAGTGGAACCTCAAGATAGAAGCACCTCTATATACGAGGAAAGTATGAACGAATACCAGCATTGACTCAAGTAACGAGCAAGGAGCCAGGCTGTTAGTATGCGTGGCACCATTTCCCGATCCGGCTCAACTCGGGGAATCCCCTTGTCAGATCACTCAGTGTTCTTTGAGCTGTGTGTTTGTGCACTTGTGAGTTAATTGTTTTTTTACATTTAACATGAAAATAATTATTTTACGATACCTCCCAAGAAGATCGTTGCCTCAGATAGTTCTGCAAAGAAAAAGAAAGAGGCAATGGCCGTTGAAATTAAGAAAGAAGTCATAGATAAGTATCAGCGTGGTGTAAGAGTGACGGAATAGGTGAAGACTTATGGCTGTTCGACTTCGATGATCTGCACTATTCCTAAAGAAGGAGGAAGAAATTAGGCCAAAGAGTTACTGTTACTTCTAAGCACCATCCAAAACTCCTAGAAGATGTTGAGAAGCTATTGTTGGTGTGGATTAATGAGAAGCAGTTAAAAGGTGATTCAATGTCAGAAGCTCTGATAAAGATAAATTATGGTTAGATTATTTACCGGTGTTATTTATTGGGAAAATTGATTTTTATGTTGAAGTTTTTTGGGTTGTGGAATGGATTAATTAAATTTTCATTATTTTCAATGGGAAAGTTTGTTTCTAGATACCAGAAATTCGCTATACGAGCTCAGTGCTGGAACGAATTAAACTCGTGTCTCGAGGTTCCACTGTATAGAAGAGGATTTGTTGCATCACATATGCACCTAAAGAATTCTTATGAACTTTTACTTAAGACACAGATATGTAGTGTATTTAAAATGTTCAGAACTTTATATTAAATTTGTGTTTATAATTTCATATTTAATATAGGTTTTATTTATCCTATTGCAAAATTTTTTATGAAATATAATTTGAAGTAATGACACAATAAGCACACAAAGATTTTAAATTTACCTTCATGAAAGCAGAAGTTTGTGCCACTTTGATCTATATTGCATTTTGTTGATTTTAGAAGTACACTTTCTCTACGCTTTTAGTTTTAAAGCCTGATCATTTATTAACTTTTGCCTATATCGCTATCACTTTTGTTCTGCATTTTTATGTACATTCATTATTCTAAAGTAACAAAACTGAAACAATTGTTTCATACAAATAGGAATTAATTGGTAGTGTATAATTAAGTAAATATCATTAAGAAAAGCAGGTGTAATCAAAAGTGCAGTAAACATTTTAAATAAAATTTGTCTTTTTTTTATGAAAAGGGAAAAAATTAAAAGGTCAAATATGAATGTAATAATGTAAATAAACTGTTAAAAGCACACAGTAGGATCTAAAAGTTCAGGGACTGGCATGTTGCTTCTTCTCATAAGTAGTTTAAAATGCCTGTATGTAACTGCTTTCAAAACAATCCCCTTATGCAATTTCAGATATTTGTCTAAACTCGTATAACTTTTTAGAAGCATTACTATAAATATTTTTTTACAATTATCATTAATGTGTGCTTTGATACTGATTTTACCTTATTTGATTTAAAAGAGGTATGGATTGCTGGGGGCTAATTTGAGTGATTTAGCAAAATGTGGAAATGCTTTATAGCCATTTCTGGTATGGAGTTCTATGACCATTAGGATGCAATGTGGAGGTGTAACACCACACAAATAATACCATTGCCCACTTCCTAGCATCGTAGACCATATAACAACCTGCTAACGATGTAAAATATCTGGATAATGCTCTGTCTTCAAAAGTGAATTCTGAATAGACAGTTCTTTGAGAGTCAAAATACTTCTATCGTGTTTTGCTGCAATCTTGTTGAGATTTTTTCGATTGTGGTAAAGACTGTCATATCTTGTGACAATCTTCAAAAAGCAAAAGAGATCACTGTCAGCATTATTGTTCAATCTTTGTCATATTTAATTATCGATATCCATATTTGTTCCTTCTTTTGTTTGAAGATAATACAACAAGGGACATGTATGCAGTTCCCATTAAGATCGGGCATTAAAATGCATCAACTGGTGAACAACCCTAGTGATATCCTGAATTGTCTGATGATAATTTGAACTGATATACCATACTACCAAATAAATATTTGCCTCAGTCTGTGAAGATTCAGATTAAACAAAAAGCTCATTATCTATGATTGAAGAAATCAAAATTTTCGAGCTGAATTATAGAATATAATCCAGATACACCGAAGCATGCATTTAAACATTTTTTGGAACACAAAATAAATTTTCTTTTAGCATATTTGAAATTCTGTGCTTAATATCAAATGTGCTGTTAAAATTATGTTTTGATTCAAAACACGATTTTTAATTGCCTAAAATGAACTGGATCTCTTAAAACAATAGTATTGGATTACTTTTAGCTTTAAATTTTAGCTCAATATTATTTTTATTTCAAAATTTAGAACAGAAAATTCTGGTTTATATAGTAATAGTTTTTATCTGTTTCATTTTGATGCATTATTGCTGAAAAATTTCTGAACACATCACAAATGGATATTTCTAGCATGACATTGTCTTCTCAGCACTCATTTTCCATTGTGTTTTGGTATTTAATTTCACAGTATGATGCAAAATAATTTTAAAAAGTTTCTTTTTATGATAGATAGCACAAATTTGAGGTCAGTTAACCATTATTGTCTTTTTCAAATATAACAGTGCTCATTAAGCCAAACCTTAACAGCAGTAATCTTTGCAGTGAGTAAGGCATTATTTAAATCTTTCATAACTGTATTTTCTTTTTCAGTTTAAACTTGCATAAAGTATACAACTTTTGTTTCAAACAGGATTTTTCTTTATCTGTCAAAAGCTCTCTTTAATGATTTGTTGCATGAAAAAGTTCCAGTAAAATCTACTACAGTCTGTCTATCATAAGAAAAGCTCTCGCCAGTTAGTCTGCTGCTGCCTGTTGCCATAGAAAGGAGCCTTGACCCATTTTTCGTAGGGATGTCTTGAAGACGAAAGATAAACACTTTTCTCCTCAGCCAACAGTCGCCAAAAACAAAATAAGAATAAAGCAACCCTTGGTTCGCTCTTATTTGAAATATACTAGCCCTGTTGCTATAGCGACTGCCATCCGCCAGGCACTGTGGCAGGAGCTGTTCTTCTTGTAGACAGACAGTACTTGTATTTAATTAATAATAAATATATAATTTCTTTCTGTCTAAACATTTTATTAGTTTCTTCGTTCTCTCAGGCATATTAACCGTTAAAGCTTAGCAAAATCAGCAGTAATTACTTCTAATTCTGCAGACCAGCACTATTTGAAAATACCACCTGTTTTCTATCAGTCAGTTTCTTAAATTAAATTTATTTTCAGCTTTTACCTCAGAATGCTAAGCAGAACTGTAACTTGGTGTTCTACTTTGTATATTTGTAGTAGAATTTTAATTACTATAAATTGAATTTCAAATAATTCACACAGTGAAGAAGTTTAAAGAATAAGTAATATAACATAAATATTGAACCTTCTGAAACTTTAGAGAATATATTTACCAAAATTTTGAATTTTCTTTCCATGGACTGCTTCAAATCAGATGCGTAGTACTCATTTCGGTAGGGAGAGGATTCATGAATTTGTTATAACAAAGTTCCCTGAGTGTTCCTAAACAGATATGTTTGTCACCTACATATTCATCTTGAGAATACATGTTAAACCTACTCAACTTGAGTTTGTTAGCTTCAATAATTTTATATGGTTGTTTTATACTCTTCAGATTATCATCTTTACTAGTTTTGTTTCTTAAACTAACATGACTAATATACAAATTTTTACCTAAGTGTAGTCATTAAAAATGCCTCTAAATTTATGTCATATTATTGAAAGAAGTTTATTAAACTTTTTTCTTTTTCTTTTTTTTTTTTTTTTTTTTTTTGTCTCATTTCTGTAGCTAAATTACCACCAAATAAAAATATCTATAATGTAATCTTTATTCCATATCGATTTATGCTTAATCGCAAAATGAGGAATCCAGTTTTTTAAAGGATCAGTTTACTTCCACTTAGTGGGAAAATAAATTCCACATCTTGAATATGATTTAT